TTTCGTCGCCCTATTTTTTGGGTTTACGACTACTAATGTTCAACTCCGTAGCCTTGTAATTTTAAACTCAATCCAGAAGACAAGGGAATTCCTGTATCATGTACTGGAAGAAAGTTGCCTTTATGAGAGCTTTTTGATGGAACTAACACGCATTTTCGGTATATGGAGAGGAAAAACACGAAACTCTCCCACTGTTAGACTGACGGCAAGGGGACTTTGACCCATTATCCGTGTACCACTGAGGATATTTTACGTCAGCACTGTGATCGGTGCAAGCCGGATGCGGAATTCGTATCCTCCAGCCATCGCTGGGAATTCGAACCCGTTTCACCTCATTGAAAGGCGAATGCTCTATCCCAGGGATGGGCGAACTTTTTTGGTCGTGGGCCAAAAATCTAGAAAAAAAAGTTTGGTGGGCCGAATAAAACTTCTAAAATAAAAATTCTAACTTCTGAAATAAAATAAAGTCAATTCATCATTGAACGCACGGCACTCTACATCAACTTTGCATTTTTTAGTTGCCATTTTGGGATTAAAAATGTTTACAAATAACTCAAAAAGGCAGTAGCCATTTCATACATTTAATAATTTCACCATTATTTACAATGACGTTGCATGTGCGCAGCCTTTCCATACGCAGTCAATTATGTTCGAACTCACGCCGGAAGAAAAATCCGCTCGTTGGAACTTAAAATGCGTAGTAAGCCTCATGTGAAGTACAATTCACCTATATTTGATTCCATATGTCTGCTCCTCGAGAAAGACAAATACTAGTTGGAGCTAATCTACGGCTATTCTATAAGGGACTTTTGCTTTCAACATTTTATCAATTGAAGCTGTTAATGCTAACTATTTTAATTAATTTATGTTTTGTAGAACAAAAATAGAGAAAGTAAAAAGTTAAAATTCTGTCCGCGGGCCGGATAAAATCTTCCGGTGGGCCACAGTTGGCCCGCGGGCCGTAGTTTGCCCATCCCTGCTCTATCCCCTGAACCATCACGGCTCTTACTGATGAATTAGTACCTTTTTCAAAATCAAATTCTGCTCTTTTGTGCTATTATTAATTGTGCTAGTCAATAAATTTCATTTTTAAGAGTTTTTTCGCCAAGACAAAATGAGCTTTATTTAAAAAATTCTTCAATGTTTTTATGCGAATAATATGCTATTTTCATTACTGCTGCGAGTTTGTAATTGTTACTCACGACTGTTTGGTAGAGTTTAGTCTATGTGAAGCTAGCGCTGTCTACGCTTATTTTGAAAATGTAGCAAGATATCATTATGGGGAAAAGCTACAGTTTTGTGAAAATGAAAAGCGTTTGTGGTCGAATTTTCTAATATTTAACAACCTAATCCAATGCTGCTGTAAAAAATGCTGTTTCCATGTACGCGCACATTGTAATTAATCAATATCAATGGTCTTCATCGATGAAATTTCGTATTTTCGATACTTTGCCCGGACCACATGATGGCGGGAAAACGTGATCGTTTACAAACCACCCCTTGGAAATTTGCAAATTGTGAAAAATTGTGAAAAAAAAACACAATCCTGTCAGTACTTCAATTCTCGAGTTATCAGCGAACATACATCCAGACAGACTTTCGCTTTTACATATAGAGAGGTCCCGCAGTGGACTGATTGTTAAGACGAGGTTTCCAGCAGGTCACCGAAGTCAAGCATCAGTGACTGCTGTCAGTGTGCGGGTGGGTGACCACTTCTATCAGTCTGCGTGGGGACCGAGGGTGTGCGGTATTGGTCTTCGTTAAACTGTTCTACCGTAAAGTGCTCGACTTCGCATGCAGGTCGTTGGGCTACCGAAGCAGGGGTGCCATCCCCTCTGCAGAGGATCAAAATTGTGATGGCTTGTCTTCGGATCATCCTCAGGGATGTTTCCCAGACCGTCGCCAATAGCCCATTGTGGAGCTCTAGTGCGACGTAAAGGAACAGCAACAACAACATATAGAGAGAAGAGATTCATGCGAATTATAAATTTCCTATTTAAACTTTAACTGGTATTTTTCTGGTGTAAAAATAACTAGCCCAATTGCAGCTATATCTCGCCTTAAAGTGAAGGCAACAAATATTTCATACATAACGATTATTTGTAAAATGAATTACCTAGTAAAACATTTTTTTTTCAAACTTAGCGGCTTAAAACAGCTACGATTTTTATTGAGTTAAGACAACTAACACTTTATTAAAATTAAATAGATGAAACGCATTTTGTTTACCAAAAAAAGCTTCTATAAAAAAAATGAATACCTAGAATTATAATAATTATGCAATTTTGATATAAACTGAAAAATTTTATAAAAATGATTTTCCTTTCAAATTATTTATTAAAGTCTTTCTCACCGAAATTAATCCTAGATACCTTAACTTAAACCAGTGTTGTTTTTTAAACCATTTTTTTAACGGCAGGCATTGAATTCTTCATTTGCCATGGAAGTTGCCGTAACGTTAGCCGGTGAGCACCTGTGAACCTTAATCACGGAGGCGAGCAACATTATCCACGCCACACTTCCACTGATACCCGTTTATAAGGTAGGCCACATTCATACATCACACTACAGAGGACAACACAGAGAGAAACAACCATGCCCTAAGCGGGATTCGAACTTACAATCATTCGCTTCACAGTCTGGCACGCTATCCGCTCGACCATCTGGCCGGCTTTTAAACAAATGTTAATCTGTAATTGATCATTCGACTGCGAATTAAACATATATGTATATATTTATATTTCCTTTGTTTATTTCGAACAAATTAGCTCTACTTAAAAAAAATATTTCAATAAAAAAATAGAAATATGGTATAAATTATCGTTTACACTTTTAGCAGATCTTAACAAAATCTCCCAGAAATAGCCTCATTGCAGAATGTTTATATATTTTGTCATCAGGGGTCTGTTTCGAAGAAATTTGGGTCCGTTAACGGACCCTTCACAAAATAATTCTTTTAATCGGACCCTTCACAAATTTGTTTATCTTCATTATGGTTTTGTTAATCAAATAAACCCTTCCCGGAGGGGGAGGGGAAGAAGACGGTTCTAGACAAACTAAATTTCCCTAAGTTTAAATTCTAAAATGTAGTATTCTAAGAAAATATTTCTACTTTAAAAAACATCGTGTGCGCTCTTATTAATATTACATCATGTTTTTTTTCTGTAAACAAATGATTAATCAATTTATATTTATTCATAAAATTAATTAATTTAATATTATGTAAATAAAAATTAATTTCTGGCAATTGTTTAAGTAAAATATTATAAATTTAAGAATTGTTTAAGTTTACTTAATGCTTACACATTAAAAGTGATACATTACTAAGTTGTGTTATTTAAAATATGTCAATTGAAAATATTAAAAATGTGTGTGATTTTTTGAATTTTCTGTGTTGAGCAGTATAGGCTAAATACCAAATATTTGTATGTTGCATCTCTAATTTAGTAGCAGCAATTGTTGAGCAGAATCTTGTTTCTATTTACAATTTAAAAATTTCTTGAAAAGGTTTTTAGCAAATTTTGCAATAACAGAACCCTATTTGCACAAATTCACAAAAGTAGGACCCAGGTTGAAAGAATGTGACTTAACGCTTATTTTATATTCGCAAAATATGAATAGTTTTCACAATTTTACAAAAACAGGATCTTTCACAAAATGTTTGAACAGATCTCTGGTCATTCTATCTTTCTTAGATGGACTGAAAGTACAAATTTTGGAGTTTTTTTGTCGCTTTTTTAGGTGTGTCTTCTGCATACCTGCCAACTTTTAATCCTTTCTAGGATGATTTTCCACAGTGGTAGTAAAATGGAATTTAAATTACAATTTTAGGCTGACACATACGCTGTAATTTGGGAAAGTTTATGCAGACTACCATAATTGTATTACATTTTATTATCGATGCTTAATTTTTTTTAAAAAATACTGGTGGTCAAAAAGATTCTAAATTAAGTTTATAAATGCAAGGAATATATAGAAAGCATAAATTTTACTACCACTTTAAATATAGAAATAAAATTTTACGCCAAAGGCGTAAAAATTGGCAGGTATGCTTCTGTGAGCTTTTCAACATTCGAAATAGCTTTGTACATTTTGATGGAACTAAATATTCTACAATTACAGCAAATCTCAAAAGATAACAAGTATACAGTAGTGCTTATCAACATTGGATAATTCATTTTACTAGTATCTGATGTTTAGTTATCCAGGGTTAAGAAACAGTGCTTTTACTTGGCTTCATGTTTTCAAGTTTCTGCTCTTCAGTCTTTAATATAAAGATATTTTTTTAAATATATTAAAGTGTTTACTGCAGTAAATTGTAATATTTATTGTTAAAAAATGAGTTAAATAATTTTTAAGCCTGGAATTTTATTAAACTCATTTTTTAACAATAAATATTACAATTTACCTATACCGAATTTCCATTGAAAAACGTTTTTCCTGATTTTCTCTGTAAACCGAATCATCATTATTACTTTTACGGAGTGCGTAGCGTTTTTAAAAAGTGCTTATTTTTGATTTACGTTTTTTAAAAGCCCTTAAAGGTGCTTTTTTTATTCAGGGTTTCTAAAAAGTGCCTAATTTTCTATCTTTCAAAAATATTTTTTTTTGCCGTGTCGATTGTCGTTCTAAATTACAAAAAATGCATAATTTTCGCAATTTTCTCTTTATCACAAACTAGTTACTTCATCATGATTTTGTAAAGTTTTTGAAAATGTTTTTGAATTTTTATTGATTTTATGCTTATAAATTAAGAACTTTAAACGGTCGAAAAGTATAATCTTCATTACTGCACAGATCCAAATTATGAGTTTTTTTTTTTTTGAAAATTGATTAAAAATATTTTTTGAATGCTTAAAAAATTCTTAAAAGGTGCTTATTTTAATTTTTCTTGAAAAATCTGGCTGCGCACCCTGTTTTAGGTTTCCTTTGATTGAAGTACTTTAGGTACACATTGTTAATTTTGATCGCTGATTTATGTTTCTTTTTTTCTTTTTTAGAATTCCTGAGAAATCAGCTGAAAAGTTAAGAATAACAGACTGGGTCTGTCTTTAAGTAAGAAAAGTTTTCTATGCTATCCGCCACCTGCATTTATGGTTTAATAATGATTAATTATTATGGTTTATAGTTTATTACCTCCATTAAGGTTCATAGTTGTGCACAGCAGAATTTCAACGCTTTATTTAAATTTAAGACACTCAAGCAAACTAGCTTTTTTTTTCTTCTTTTAATTAATTAATTTATTTATTATTATTTTTTTTTGTTGAAAGAAAAACTTTCAACCACATTCCTAATGGAAAGAGATGTAATTAACCCCTTGATATATCATAATTAAAACTCTAAACTGAGCGGAATTATTAATTTCTTGATATAGAAATGATCTTTGATTGCACTGAAAACAGCAACTCGCAACGGAATGTTGACTGAGATGCCAATTGCTCCGGACACGCCAAAATAATTTAAAAAAAAAACAGTAAATAACTAACTAAATTTAGCAAATATTTGACTATTTTTGCTTGCTTTTTAAAAGGTATAGCATGACATAGTAACTATAAAGTGGTGAATTATATAAGCCTACGAATTATTTAGAAATAGTGGTGGATAAAAATCTTCTAAATTGAATTTATTAAATCAAGAATCACAATTGATAAAGTACCACTTTAAAATATTTATTTGCTGTCCGGAGAAAGTTGGCATCTCTGTGTTGAAGACGTCTGAGGCACGTCATAAGAAACAAATGACGTCTCCCAGACGTTTACGTATGACAAGGGGTTAATGAATCATAAAACTGACAGAAGATGGGAAGGTGTGCTCATATACATCTGAATTTCCACATCTTCTAAACATTCTAATTGTTATGCCGCTTAGTGTTTGTAAATAAAGATTTCGGCTCTGAGTTCCTGAATTGTCAAATGCAAAGTTTTCTTGGAAATCTGGAATTTTTTCTTTAGCTTTAGCATTTAATGCAGTTTTTTTCTTAAAAATGTTTTGAAACCAATATACTGTTTAATAATTGTTTATAAACAAAATTATTATGCTTTTTTTTTGTTAGACAATTTTAATTAATACCATTATTGTATATAGCTTCTAAACATAGAAAGTATCAGTAACTTAAGCGTTTCTTTGCATTGTTTGAAATAAAGTATTGTATGTGTATTAGTTTAATAACAATGACGATTTCAAAAATAATTGCCTACATTGCTTAGATCAATAGTTTTCTTTAATATGTAAGTAACGAAATTATTCTTTCTTTGAATGAAAACATACTTGATTTCTTAAAGCTCTCTTTTTTGGAGTGAATTTTGATTTTTGCCTTTAAATATCTGAGCTTTAAGCTTAAATCTAGAGAAAATGGTCAAAATAATGTAAATCAATTACCTCATCTCAAGTTAGACTCCCTAATGTTACTTTTTGAATATTTTGTCTAATTTTTACGAACTAAAACTTGTTAACTCTTATATAATTTTACCAAAATAGATAATTTTAATACTTATTATCTTTTAATTTTAAATGATCAAAAATTTGATGTGAAAAGTAAGCAATACAATTATTAACTCAAAGATAAATAAATTTTTGAATGTTTATATTTTAGAAATTATTCAGCTAATATAACTCAAATTTTTAACTTTACGTTATAATAACGTTTCGTATTTAACATTCTTATATTATTTTTAAATTAATAAAAATGAATGTTAACTAATTATTAAAAATTTTTGTGTTATATGGTTTAGTAAAACGAGTTTTATGAATGGGGGCAAAGTTTTTTATTCAAAAATATATTTTGGTATTTTTCAATTATAAAGAAACAGTTTAATAGTTACTAAAAAATATCTGTTAGATTATCGAGATTATGTTCATGCTAAAATAGAAAAAAAAATAATAATAAGTAAATAAATGAAATAAAGTAAAAAGAAATTTTTTTTTTTGCAAATTTTTCTTTTTATTCACTTTTAAAAATTCATCAATAATTGACTTTATAAATCGTCGAAACTTTCCTGTTGAATAACTGTTTCTCTTAGATCTAAATAACTACAAATATGAAAAATTATTGTTTGGAAGTGAGCCGTGTTTTTAAGATTTTACCTTTAACTCAGAAAAAGACACTGATGTTTCATGATGTATTTCATAACCATAAATTTAAAAAATGCTAAATATAATATTTTTTTTCATTTATTTTGAGCTAAATTAATACAAAATAATAAAAATAGTACGAAAAATATATTTACTAAAAATTCTGCGTCAAAGGGTTGTTATATTTGTATACAGCTTATTATTTATTTTAAACTTATTTTTTTATACTGCCTTAACTTATACTGTCTTATTAAGTTCTAGTTATATTGGATTGGGATAAAATTCAAACCTGATAATTTTTCGGTTGTCACTGGCAATTTTTATTCACAAACTTACCAGTGATTCGTATTATAATAGTAATTATTTTAATTCGTATCAATTCGTCAAGGGTTGAATTCGTTGGTTGAATAATTCAACATTAGCAGCTTATTATTTGGCATTGTATGCTTAAAGAAATCATCGTAAGCTGAAAAATTATATTTAAAAAAAGTAAATAAATAAATAAGAACTTTTTTTTAAAAAAAAATTTTTAAAAGGGGAACGGTTGGTAATTCACTTCACACTAATATGCACTAAGAGTTCGTACGTTGAAATATGACAACACGAAACATTTGAATAATACTTCAACTAACTAAACGAAATGATGTAAAAAAACTCTTAATGACTATGGCAAAACAGCAGGGATTTGAAATGACTGTCTTTGGTTACTGTAAAAACTCGTTACATGTTTTTCCCTAATTAGATAACAAAATTAGTTGTAAACCTTTAATTTTTATTAATTATCAAAGCAAAAACTAATAACCGAGTATAATATTGAGAAACGGATGATTCATAAAATATTACTGGTAAAAACCGTTAAATTAGGAAGAAATAAATAACCTCTAAATATTGTTACAACTTATGTAATTTTATATTGATGATATCCACAAATATCTACTATTTCTTTGTTTATTAATGACCTTATCTTGCGAATATTCAGTCCAAAGTTTATCCAGAGACGGCAATTATCTTTTTTTTTTAATGTTAAATATAGAAATAAGTAAGACAAAACTGTATTCAGAATCTTTTTATTTGTTGAGGTCAATCGCTATATTTATCACAGAATTACTGCGCCAAAATATATTTACAGATGACTCTTATTTATTACCAAGACCACCATTCAAACATCAAATCACAATTACATTACCAGCAATATCTTGTGGTGCAAAACAATACGAATGTTCACCATGGGAATCGGCAAATTACTATCATACTTATGGCTAAAGGAAGATATTATCCAATAACATAGGAATTATAAATCCCATGTTGTTTGGTATTTTTTTCCCCTTCTGAATATTTATCTTCGTTACCTTATGGGCGTTGTCCTTTATTGGCGTCTTCTCCAAACGATTATGAATTCGTTTCTTTGGAAGCTGCGCGTGCAGTAGCCATTTCTTGAGGGGAAAAAAAAAGAACATGGCGAATGCTATATGAATAACAAAACTCGTAATTCTTTTCTGGCTAATGAAGGGACTGACCTTCTAACTACCCTTTGTTGTTCTTCGTAGCGTCACTCCTTTGTTTATTTCTTGTTTAGTGAATCGTAAGTTGTGATAGGTAATTTCATTATCGATATGGCTTTTGTTGATTGAAGTGTATTTCTATTCATCAAATCTTTGGAATGATAATGAGAATTTCATTCATATTATGGAGGCTGGATTTTAAAGATGAACACTTGCGTCGAGCGATATCAGAATTTTAATACAGCGATATATCGTCGAATTGATGTTTTTCAAATTTAACTCTATAATTTCCAAATTTAATTCAATTTTATTATCTTTTTTTACATTAATATTTTTGTTAACTAAAGTAAATTTAAATCAGTATTCACCTTAGTAATATCGTATTCGATGATTGACTTCTTCCTTCTTCTAAATAAATAGATCACTGCGCAAACTCCAACAGGTGTGTGATATCTTCACGCTTGCGCAGTGTGGATCGACTAAAGTGAATTCTAATTATCGTATTCTATATTTATCGTATTCATGATATATTGTTAAAAAAAAAAAATTTAAAGCATAGTTTTCGCGTTGCTTCTGCATGCATCTGTATTTCATTATTCGCCTATGACGACTGGAAATTTTTAAAATTAGAAGGAAAAATAAAACTTGTTCTATCATCAAGTTCATTATGTGTCATTTGCAAATAATTTTGATTATGAGAAGTGGAAAAAATCTGATTCCAGTTCCCCTAAATGATATATTGAACACTTTTTACGTTTTTTTATTTACTCGTTTTGTGTGTGTAAGAGCGGAATCTAACAACTGAAATTTCTGCAGTTTTTCGACAGGCTAGAGACACTGGAATTCCAACTGAAGCTCCGATCCTGATTACAATAAAAGTTTCAAACGCTCCTTTTCCGCTCTAGGCAGAATTTATCAAATAAAATTCATATTCAACCAAAATTTTCAACCACTTTCCGATTATCTGGTATTCTCAAATCTGTAATGGAACTCACATGATGATACAAGACAGCTACAAATAGAATTTTTCGCCTTATTGCGTAAGGAAAATTTTTTTTTCATTCCAAATTTTGACCAAAATTTCCTTTTCATGTTTCAAAATTAATAAAAAAATTTTTGAAATTTATTTAATTAATTTTTTATTATTATATTGTTATTAATATTCTTTTAGCATGCAAAGGTTTTTGGTCAATTTGGGGAAGGCATTTAGGTCTTAAACTTGCTGTTTAACATTCATCTGATAAGGTTTGAGTCTTTGCACGCAGTTAAGCTGGATATTCCTTTTTTATTTAACCTTTGTAAAGGAAGCATAATCTTTTGAAATTATCTCTGTATTGCTCTCAGTTATCAGTTGATGCCGTTTCAGAAAAAGTTTCACCCATTTTTCACCTGGAAGATTGTCTTTAAATGTATTTTTCCTATCCTTTTCTATCATCAGTTATAACGTCAGATCTCATTTTTAACGTCATTGTTATGCAGGGA